CAGACGATCTAACGATGAGCTGTATGAGCTTTACAACGATATAGACATAGTGCAGCGAATTAAAATTCAGCGGCTCCGCTGGCTTGGCCATGTCGTTCGGATGGACAGAAACGCTCCTGCTCTGAAAATATTCAACGCGGGCCGCGATGCTGGGAACAGAGGAAGGCCTCCTCTGCGTTGGAAAGACCAGGTGGAGAAGGACTTGGCTTCACTTGGCATTTTCAATTGGCGTCAGTTAGCACAGAAGAGAAATGACTGGCGTGCTGTTTTGGACTCGGCCAAAATCGCTTAGGCGGTTACAGCGCCAAATAAGAAGAAGAAGATAGTGGATACAGTGGGTTTGAATACTATGGGGGTGTGAGTGTATAATGTAATTGCGGCAGTTTGGCTACTGAGCCTCGGCTTGAGTAACAGGAGATTCGGCTGATGGTAAGATACATAGTTTCGTTATGGGCCGGGTGAATACTCCGTTCTGAGTGCGTATATCGACCACGCGAATATGACCATCTGGGCCTGGATGCAATTTATCAATGCGTCCGAGACGCCATTCTGTGGGTGGAAGGGTGTCATCTTGGAGTAATACGCACTCTCAGAGTTTCGGTGGGGCTTGGGTAGTTTTCTATATGTGGCGTTTTTTAAGATCGTTCCGATAGTCTTCCTTCCAACGGCGGCTAAATTTGTGATGTAAGATTTTAATCTTTTCCCATCTGTTGACTAAGGGTAAACTTTCATAATTTGCTTCAGGTAGTGACAGCATCGGGGCACCTCAAAGAAAGTGACCAATAATGAGCGCTGTGAGGTCCATTGGGTCCTGAGAAAGCGAAGAGATGGGACGAGAGTGTAGATCGGCTTCCATTCTGATTAAGAGAGTAGTGAACTCCTCAAACGCGATCTTCTGAGATCCAGCGGTCTTTTTGAGATGAGTTTTGAAGCTCTTGACCTCGGACTCCCATAAACCGCCCATATAAGGAGCGCCGGGTGGAATGAAGGTCCAATTGATACCTTGGACCGCGTATTTTGTGACGATATCAGGTAAAACTTTCCTTAGAAATGCGGAGAATTCCCTTTCGGCGGCTCTTTAGGCTCCTATGAAGGTTTTCCCATTGTCGCTCATCTTCTTTTTTGGGGTAGCCACGGCGTACAATGAAGCGAGCAAAGGCTGCAAGGAATGCGTCGCTGCTGAGAGCGGAGCAGAGCTCGAGGTGGGCGGCCTTTGTGGTGAAACACACAAAGCGGCCACATAACCTTTCACGAGGGTGGCGTTTCCAATGAGATCAATTATCTGCGCGGTTCGGTTGGATACGTAGGTTTTTCAGGGCTGAGGCGGTTTTTCTAGCCAAGCTAAAACGATTTCAGAGTCGGACCACAAGGTTAGTTTAGGAAGGTCAAGGTGGCTTAGCACTACTGAGACCAATTTGGCTAATAAAAGAGCTCCACGTAATTCGAGACGTAGTAAGCTGATAGTTTTTAGGGGTGCAACTTTGCTTTCGGACATTAGCAGATGAGAGGTGACTTGGAAACCATGCGTGGTGTGAACATACAAGTTTGCGCAGTAGGCCTTCTCGAAGGCGTCACAGAAGCCGTGTAGTTCGACGGGTTGGCCAGGGAGGTAATTGACCCATCGGGGTATCTGGATGGTAGAGACTGTTTGCAGATTATTCGCAAATTACAGGCATTTATAGAGGCGGTTGGGTTTGACTTGCTCATCCCAATCAGTTCCGTCGAGCCACAAATCGTGCATGAGGATCTTCGCTTGTATCATTATGGGCATCATCCACCCTGCGGGGTCGAAAAGTTTCGCAACGGCGGTGAGAATTTGTCGCTTTGTGACCGCGGACGCTGCGAAGATCGATTCCCCAGATAACAATGCGGTCCGGGCACGTTGCAGGCACGACGGTCGGCGGACCGCAGGCTTGCTATAACGCAACGATTACGCTAGCACATTGTGAGATGACCAATAGTCCGGGAATGGGCCTTCAGTTTGCTCGCACATAATACGGAATTTCTCGCTTGCCATAGTCCGGAAGATTGGTTGTATGTATTTATTTTTTTTTGTATATTTAAATATAATTTCATGTAGTTTATTATGTATTATTTCTATTATTAACTTATCATATACCATAAAAACATCTAAAGATGTTTCGTCGATGTGACATGAAGTAATAGTAGTCGATAGTGGATAATCGATAGTCTATTGCATGCACCAGTGTTAGCACAAGCGCCATTATTGTAAGTTGTTTGTGAAGTTTACTTAAACATATTTGAGAAAAATTAATTGGGAGAATTTCGAGAAGCAGTGTGTTACATCAGTAACATAAAAGTTGTGTTAATAAGTACATATAAAAAGAATATACTAAGAATATTAAGGTAAATGAATAGTATGCTGCGTGGAAAACATAAAGAGTTTTCAACCCTCAGTGCAAGTCAAAAGCGCAGACGCTTGGAAGACATCCGGAGAGAAATAGACGATAACAATTCTTCGGTTCATAGTGAGCTAGCTGCAGATCAAAGAAATAACGTGGAATTTCCTTTGATTCATTCATCACAAATGGAATCATTGGATCGAAGTGCTGATGAAAGTGAACAAGAAAATTCTGATGATAGTGCTGAAGAAATTGTAGAAGAAAATATTAATGGAAGTGATGAAAGTGAACAAGTAGAAATTATTGATAGAGAAATAAATTCTGAAGAAAGCAGTGATGATAAAGTACCTCTACCTATAAATATTAATGTTTTAAGAAAAAAAAAACTGAGAAATGCCTTTTTGGCTGCTAATTTGAAGCACACTCAATGATATATTCTTCTAAAACCCTTAAGAGAATATCCATTTCAACTAAATTTCTTACCAAAGGATGCAAACTCGCACAAATGTTGAAAATGGATTAATTCAGCAGATAGGAGGTGGAGAATATCTGCATTTAGGTTTTAAATTTACTCTTCAGAAAAAATGTGTTGGATTTTTTTGAAAAATTTGTCCAAGAAGTTATTGAAGTACGTGAAGAAGGAATTATTATTGAAGACAGAAGATTTTTTTTGACTGTGCGCTGTTTTATAGCAGATGCGCCTGCAAGAGCGTTCGCTTTAAATCACTCTGGCTACAATTCATCAAAAGCATGCTCCAAGTGTAAAGTCGAAGGCACTTATTATATGGAAAGAATGATTTTTCAAGGGACGGAGCACCAGCTACAGACAGATTCTGATTATCGTAATCTAATAGACGAAGACCATCATCTTGGAAGAAGCCCTTTGGCAGAGTTGCTTGGTTTGGTAACTAAAGTACCATTTGGAAATGTTATGAAAGCTATAGTGGTAAACGTTGACGGAAAATATGCTCGTCGAAGGTTATCAGGCAGAAAGTTACATATCCTTGATTCCAGAATGCAACAACTACAAAATTACTGTCCCTCTGACTTCGACCGATATTTTGTTTTTGATATTTTATAGAAAATATACGTTTTTGTGGTACATACTGCAATATTCTTATATGGTTTAGCTAAATGGAACATATGTATGTAATAT